GGGCTAGAAGACCGGGGGAGGCGGTCGAAACCCTCAACGCGTTTTGAGCTCCAGAGTCGCTAAGTAGGACTCGAACCGAACGTGTGACCCCACCAATGGATTGCTCTCCGAACGAGGAATCCATTGGTGGGGTCACACGTTCGGTTCGAGGATTCCGACCGCCTCTACAGAGTAGGTACAGCAGCATGCTCACTCGACCCCAAAACAGCCGGCAGCGGCCGCAGCGCTCGGAGCGGGCGCGTTCTTTATCTCGTTTTCGCGGAAAAGAGTGCAAGTCAGATTTGCACAGCCAGATCTCCTGCTGCCGCTGGTGTCCCGCCCACGCAGCCCGAAGAAAGGGAGCGACGGGGAGAAAAGGGGTGGAAAGAAAGGTGTGTGGGGGGGGGGGGAATCGAGTTGTCTTTCCCGTATTACAGCGCATTACAGCAACATGGCCGCCAGAAATAGTCCAGCGCGCTGCCGACTCCACAATGGACCCGTTTTCGGCGAATCGGGGCGGTCGCCGTTCTTGGCGTGGGAGAAGGAGGAGCCGAAGAAGAAAGAGGATAGAGGGAAGAGGAGAGGAAGGAGGAGGAGAGAGGGGCCGGCCGTCAATGCCTTGGGCCGAAATAGACTGTGCATGACGCACGGTCTTCCCTTTCGAACCAACGCCAGTGTATGAGAGCCAATGCCTTGGCCACTGCCCCCTCGGACGCCCCAGACGGCCACCAAACGCCAAGAGCCCGACCGACTGGCTGGACGACTGGTCGCCAAAAGGACAAGGGCCAGAAGACCGGTGGAGGTGCCCAAAACTGAAGACGCGTTTTGAGCTCCAGAGTCGCTGATAAGGACTCGAACCGAACGTGTGACCCCACCAATGGATTCCTCGTTCGGGGAGCAATCCATGCATCCGATATGAAAAATTGAAACACACACACGTGTGTCAATGCAGGCCAGCGCCAGGGGGTCGATAGTCGCGACACGATTTCGAGGCCGCCACCCAAACCGGACGCGGAAGCGGAGCCACCGGAAGGGCCAGCCGAAGGACCGTCGCTCTGTCTCTCTCGCACTCATGGGGCGTCCCGTAGGGGTGCGAGGGAGACGGCGACACAGCGGCAAGGGGTAAAGAGGGAAGCTCGACGACCGCAATTGCTCTCGAGTCTAGAGGGCCCTTCTGGCCGACCCCCTCCACCAGGCAGTTGCAGTGCTCCGCCACTGCCGTCGCCGGCCGTCGGCACAAGCCCCCAACAACGAGAAAAGGGCGGTAAAGTCAAAACAGAAAAAAAGCTGAGCTCGTCACTGTCAGCGGTACCGCCCACATGCCCACCCACTCCACTGTCAGCGAAAGCAGCAGGCGGCGAATGGCCCGAAACGGGGCAAAGGGCAAAGCGTTGCAAAATGTGTGGAAAACTCTCAACTCAAAGATACTTCCCACATACTTCCCACGCCCGAAACCTTACAAAGTATTTTCAACATGTGTAAGGTAGAACAAACCATTTAGTTTGTTATACGAAGAATTAGTTAGCTCTCTTTCAAAAGGCCTGAATGTAAAATTTTGACCCACGAGCATTTGCCAACAGAATGACAGCAGCAACGAGCCCCGATGAAAACAAGGACACCAAAGACCATAAGCAGCCAAGGATCAATGCAAAGTACACAACGAGCTACCCCGGCCCAACTGCCGAGAACAAACTTGGAAGCGAGCCGAGTTCCGGCGGAGACAGCAGCGCGAACAGTGTGTCGTCGCTCTGTCTCTCTCGCACCCCAACGGGACGCCCCATGAGTGAGAGGGACAGAAAGCAGGGTTCGGAATCAGTCGCGACTGACGAACTGCTGAACTTGGATAAGCCGAGGAGGTGAACCAGGGAAGCGCTTGGGGGCGCGAGCGAGGGGGCGGAGGGGAGGGGGTCCCGTCCACGACACTCGCTGCGCCGGGCCGACTCCAGTTTGGGAGGCACGAACGAACCGGTGTTACAAGGGTTAAAAATATCCACGGCCGGGACCAGCAGGGTCGGCGCATTCCTCGTCTGGAGCCAGTCTAGAGGGACCGGATTACACTGGATATCTTTTGTCAGCGACCGGAAAGTCTCGTCTGCAAGTCGGCGAAGGCCGGGGGCTCGACTCGCCAAGGGCCGGCCGAAGGTGCCAACGGTGCTCGAACGGTGCCCTTGGGTCCACCAAATAAATCCATCCATAGGTTCCATCCAAAGGTTCGATTCAAAGGCTCGATTCAAAGGCTCGATTCAAAGGTTCGATTCAAAGGTTCGATTCAAAGGTTCGATTCAAAGGTTCGATTCAAAGGTTCGATTCAAAGGTTCGATTCAAAGGTTCCATTTCAAGGGTTCCATTTCAAGGGTTCCATTTCAAGGGTTCCATTTCAAGGGTTCATTCAAAAATCCCATCCAATGGTTCCAAAGGTTTCAATGTTTCCGACGCAGGAACAGTTTCATGAAGGTTCCAATGGGCGGCCGTAAGAAGGCGGTTCTTGACCTAGTGGTCGCGGTGGTCGCGGTGTGGCTGCTGGGACTAGAGCCCGGGCGGTATCGAGCGCCCAGTGGAGCCACCACAGACAGAATAATTGACCAGTCCAGTCGGCAGTGCCAACCCCGCAGCGACGAAGCCGGCACCCCGCGCGCACCGCGGCGGGGCCACCACGCCACGCAGCGCCACGCCACGCCGCGCCCCGGTCACGAACGAGGACCGAGGACCCACCCCACGACGAACAGGTGTGTGTGCGCCCGCGGGCCGGCTGGCTAGAGGCACGGCAAGCCAGGGGGGGCAAACCGACAGCACGAAAGCGCAGAGCGGCGACAGAGCGGCAGCACGCTGCTGCGTCAGCTTCATTTTTTCTAAATTTATTTTTGCTGAGCTCCTCGTGGTCCTCGATGAACCTCAGAGTGTGAAGTGATTGCCTTTGAGACAGTCGGCAGCGGGTCGCGAGCTGGTACAGCAGACTGATTCCGAGAGTCGTTTCCGTCGCTCCGTCTCTCTCGTACTCATGGGGCGCCCCGATCAGGTGCGAGAGAGGCAGAGCGACGAGAACGACTCTCGCGGCATCAGTCTGTAGCGGCGGCAAAGGCAAAAGGCGATCACCACGCGCACCGCTCTCTGCGCAAGCTCGCCGGCAGTATCAGGCCGTATTAGCACTAGTCAGCATTACCTATCGATTTCCGAACGGCCGCCAGCTGGCCGTAAACGGGCCGCCCTGCCTCGCGGCGCCTCGCCGACGCGCCCGGGACGCCCGCACCACAGCGCCTATCCCACACGGCCCACACGGCCTCGGCCAGGAATCAACCAACGTGCAGACTGATTCCGAGAGTCGTTGTCGTCGCTGTCTCCCTCGCACTCATGGGGCGCCCCGTACAGGTGCGAGAGAGACAGAGCGACGAAAACGACCATCGGAATCAGTCACGGCCAAGGAATCAACTAACCCGGCCTCGACCTCGGCCGTAGAATCAACTAACCCGGCCTCGGCCTCCCTTCACGCATCTAGAGGGTGGCGGCGGCGCCTCCCCTTCGCCGCCCTTGCGCCCCACGGGCCTCGTCTCGGCCTCGTCCTCTTGCTCGTTGCACGGCGTCGTCACGTTACTGTACTGCGCTGCGGCGGCGTGGTGGCGTCTGGGGGCGACGTCGGCCACCCTTCACCGCCATGCCGGGGAGGGCTGCGGGCTGCGCGGCAGCGCGTCGGGTGGCGCGGCGCGCGGCGAGACCAGCGAGACCTTGGATGCGAAGCCACCCTCCACCCCCACTCTCCGTTCCGTCTCTCTCGCCCCTTCTCGAGCATTCGATTGTTTGCCTTGGGCCTGGCGAGGCGGCCGAGGCCTGCAAGCACACCGCTGGAGAGCTCCGTCCACCCCCTCCCTCCCCTCCCCGCCGCTCGGATCCTGTTCAGTACCCCGCGGACGAAATAAAACATGGCTTTGCTAAATATTCCAGGACAATAACGGCGTCTCCGTGCTCAGCCAATTCGGCGAGACGCGCCATGGCACACTCCAGCGAGCTCGGGCAAGTGAGCCAGCAGACTGATTCCGAACGGCGTTTTGCCGATGTCTCTCTCCCACTGACACGGGACGCCCCGCGAGAGCGAGAGAGACAGAGCGACGACATTGATGTGAGGACGAAGGAACGCGACTGCCTCGGCAGGCCTCGCCCAGCAACCATTCACAAAAGCAGCTCCTGTCCTGTCAGGACCTGCAGACTGATTCCGAGAGTCGTGTTCATCGCTGTCTCTCTCCCACCTGTAGGGGACGCCCCATGAGTGCGAGAGAGACAGAGCGACGAAAAGGACTCTCGGAATGAGTCCGCTGGCCGTGACCTCGAGAAAAACATTGAGAAGGCAAGCGGGCAGGTATAATAAAGGAAAGACCTGCATCGAGCTTTCCATTCTTGTCCTATCGCTGCCACCAGGCTGCCATCCCACCCCCGCAGGCCCACACAGGCGCGGAGCTCCCCTCCCCCCACCCTCCCCCGCGTGCCTCACTGCACCATTCATGCTCCAAGATCAAGCTCGCGTTCTCGCGTTGCTGGGATCTGCACGGAACAGCTGATGTGGAAAGTCGTCGTGAACGCCGTCGCAGCAGACGACATTTCGGCCCGATCGACACACACACAGACAGTGGCGTGCGCAGGGGGGGGGTCAGGGGGGTCATGACCCCCCCCTTTGGCCACTAGACAGCCGCCTTGAAGGTAGGCAAATTGCGTCACTTTCCCCCTGTAAGTAGGCAAAAAGCGTGGCCTGACCCCCCCCTTTCAAAATTTCTGCGCACGCCACTGCACACAGACGCAGCAGACCGCGGGCGGGGGCGTACACTGTATACAGGAGTGGCGACGGAAGGTATGACAGACGACTTCCTATCACCTCCTTGCCGAACCCACGACTCCTCTGTGGCCAATTAGCAGATTGATTCCGAGAAGCGTTTTCGTCGCTCTGTCTCTCTCGCACTCGTGAGGCGTTCCCTGAGAAGGAGCGGCGGAAACGACTCTCGGAATCAGTCTGCAGCGATCCGAAGTCCATCACTCACCGTATTACGGTTTTCCGGGCAGGATTGTGGAAGGAGAATGTGTGACACTCCTTCTTCGAGAGACTCCGCCTCGGCTTGCCCGCAAGACGACACTACACTTGACAGGGCGGGCGGTGTCGGGGCCGTCGCGGTGCGCGGTGCTACGCGGCGCCGTGAGTTCTGTGCACGGCGCGGCAGGCGGCACAGCACTGGGCGGTGCCGGGGCCGGGGGCCGGGGCTGGCGGCTGGCTGGGCGGATGGGTCCTGCTCAGCCGGTGGCCGGTAGCCCTGCTGGACCCTGCTGGGGCGGCGGGCTGCCCGGTGTCTCTGACAGGGGCGAGAGGGTGGAGGTGGTGGGCCGGGTGCAGGTGAGAGGTTCCAACGAAATCCGCCGCCTCGCAGACGGGCCAATATACTGTCAACTCTTATTGACAACAACAACAACTCGAATTGGCAGGGCCGCTCGGGAGGTGCTCGCGTCTTGGGCGTTCCGGCTCGACTGTTTAGCGTTTGCGTTACGGTTTCGCTCGGAGTCTTTTCGCAGAGCGAGACAGCGACGGGCTGGTGCGAGGAGGAGCGAGCCGAGCGCGCACGACAACTGCCGACTGCCGAAGTCCGAAGCGAGGGAGACTGGTGCAGCGGGACTCGGCTCGGGACTGCTCGTGCCTGCTCCCTTCCCTATCGACTGATCGCACGGACGGCACGGCGCGGCACGGCGGCGGCCGAAGCGCGGCGCCGCAGGCCAGGGGAGGGGGCGGCGGGGGCGGGGAGGGAAGGACAGGGTTGCGGGGGTGGAGGGCTGCGCGGTGCGCGGGGTTACGCGGGGTGGGCGCGGTGCCAGGCAAAGGCAGAAGGGCGCAGGATGGCGACGCTTCCCTCGGCGTCCGGTAGAGCTCGCTGGCGTCGAGCCCACGTGACTGGCGCAGCCAATGGGAGGGCGAGGCGCGCGGCTCGAACGCGGCGCGCAACCCGAACAGGGACGCGACGGGGACACGGGGGTAGGTAGGCGCACTGGCAGCCCGGGGAGAGATAACATTCAAACGCTTCCCGTCGAAGCTGACGTCAAAGCGGGATGTTGGCAGACGAAACGCGAAAGAAGGGACAACGAAAAGGCCTTGCATCGACCGGGGCGCGAACCACGGCCCGCCGAAACGCCACCGCCACGCCGTCCGCGCACTGTCGAGCGACTCCGAAGGGTCCTTTCGTCGCTCTGTCTCTCTCGCACCCCGACGCAACACCGCATTGAGTGCGATCGTTCTGAATCACTCGGCAGCAGCGCGCCCGATAGGCATCGTTTCCGTTTTCCACGCCGCGGCCCGCTGGTCGGGTGGCCGTCCGATGACTTGTGACGACGGCGCCCTACACCACACACGCCAGCCACACCACACACGGGCAGCACGTCGCCAGCGCGTGACTCCCTTATCCAAACGATCCGCATTGACGACGCAGTACGTAACAACCGGTCCGAATGACGCGAAGAGCGCGAGGGCGTCAAAAGAGGTGGGCGCTCGGGTGGACGTCTGGCGGCCTCCCTTGACTCAACGAGATCACTGACATTTCCATTTCAGCCCTCGCCCACTGTTTGTCCACGTGATGATAGTCCGCGGTGGAGGTGGAGGCGGGCGCCCCCAACGCCTTATCGCTTATCGGGTCATCAGGTGCTGTGCCATCCTATCCTATCCGATCCAATCCGTCGTCGGCCTGCACACATGTCGGCCGAATCGCTGCGCGGAACGCGAGCGAGTCCTTTATCGCATCGCGAATCACCCCGAAGCGATACCACATGGCAGCGTGGGACCCGCCCATCGGTTTCTCGCTCCGTCTCTCTCGCACCCTTACGCAGAGCCCCATGAGTGCGAGAGAGACAGAGCGACGAAACGACTCTTTTGAATCGCTCGGCTGGGAGGCAACAGGCAACTAGACGGGCGCCTCGGCGCCATGAGAGTAGGCAACCCAACTGCCTCTGATGCAGTGTAGGTTGTCCCCTTCGCGGCGTTGTCATCCCAATTCACCAGATTAAACTCAGATATTTTTTTACTTCAGCGCCGACTTTTTTCTGGATATTTCTTGACTTTAGGAAGACAAAAAAAAAATAAAAAAATAACGAGGCAAAAACTTTATTTATCGATTTTATTTGTTCCTTGTCTTGTAAAGATGTCATTTACTATACATACATGCAATAATAGTATTTGCCTTTACATAGATACATATAACATGAAATACAATTGATGAAAATTTACATTATACATAATATAGTCAAACTTTAAAATTTCCTATTCCATGCTAAATAGCTATCTCTCAAATATTTTCTACAACAATAGGAGCAAGTGTAAAAATAGACTCACAAAATTTAATTCAAGCTTCATTTAGGTACAGCTCATACAGCTTTAAGCTACAATAAACTTTCATAAGATGTTATGGTTCAATAAGCAACCATATCACAATAAAGGTACAGGACACATTGTTGTCAAAAATACTACAAAACATAAAATGTCCAACAAGAAATAGTAATACTCTTCCTCTAAAAAGGAATTTGTCATAACATTCAATAAAATCTCATGATCTTTGCTACAAACATTTCTCGTCAAGAGCTGGAAAAATAAATAATAAACAACACATCACACATTCAGCTCAAAGAGCTATTTCATGATTACAAATGCATATTACACTTTGATACAATGACGTGCTGTCGGCTAAACTATGTACACAACTAGAGCCAGCCAGACTGAAAGACAAACTCAAAAACGACAAATCTATAGTTACAATAGGTGAGAATGACAAAGATAAACAAACTTGCCACATCAGCTGGACGGCTTCTTGGCATAAAAAATCAGCCACTACATTATGAACATGATATTGCTGGTTGTACACAAACAAACAAAAAAAGACTAAGTGGATAAAACAAAAATTACAATTGATTTTATACAAAAACATTTCTAAAAATAAAGGTAAAAAGGACAAGAAAACACATCACTCCCAACAGTACAGTATAGTTGATCTTATTTATGAGTTATTAGCTGCAGGAGAAGCTATGGTGTCTATGTCCCTCTGCGCTCGGGATATTTTAACCTTGTCTCGGGGAGTGCCATCTTCACCAGTCTCCATGGCAAACATCTTCATCTTCTCCTTGAAGGTAAGTTTCTCGGGTACTCTGGATGTTTGTTGCTTCTGCTGTTGCTGCTGCTGTTCAGCCAACCTCCTTTGCCTTGGATCCCTGGTTCAACAAGACAAAACAAGTGAAAAAGTGAACTGAAAAATCCAAACTACCAAACTATCTGCAAATTGGGATGAACGTGTTGCATACCTGTAGACTTCCTGTGCTCCAATGACCCCTGGAGTTGATCCCACAAAGATTCCGCCAGGTCCATCAGGGGTCTTGGGAGATGCCAACATGGTCTCGGCCTCATTGATAAAGTGCTGCAAAGCAAAGACGCAACAGACCACATTAGTTTCAAATTATTTTCTGTGATGTCTAAAATTACAGTCGAAGAGAAATTAAGACAGAGCTTACATTTGGATCTTCTCTAATGGGCGGAGGCTGAGTTGATGGAGGTGGGGGTGGTTGGCTTGAGCCAGGGTCGTGGAATGACACTCTTTTCGTTGAACTTGTTGTCTGGTCACCAGGAGTCGATAGGCAACTTCTTTGAAGACCTCCACTTGAAGAGGGGGAAAGTGGTCCAGAGGGAGGCGGCTGGCGGTTGGGCTGTGACATCATGATGGAGTAGGATGAGCCACGCTCAGGAGGCTGAGGCGGGAATGCCTGTACCAGCGCACACAGACAGAAAAGAAAGAAGAGTCACCACCACCAAGAGCCAGAATACCACTAACTACTCAATTTTGAAACAATCAAACAACAGCAAAGAGTTTGCTGAAAGACTGGTAATTAACTCAGGACTTGAGAAATTATCAAGTCAAACAATAATAACTGAGGAGAACAGATACTTACAGTTTTGTCTGATGGTGATGAGCCATGGAGGAGAGTATCCAGTCTCTGTTGAGGGCCTGAAGGTGTTGTTGGAGAAGTGGCCTCATTGTGGAAATTTTGGTTGTTGTTGTAAGCTGCAGGGCTGTTGGGGTAACCATTCATGTGCTGGTATCCCTGGGGAGGCGTCTGAGGAGTGGATGGTCCATTCATAACTAGATTTTCTAATCTCAAGTGACTGGCAGCAGGGTGCTTCCCAGTCAAGGGGCTTGTATACTGTCCCGATCGGTTTGCATTATTTTGTTGGTTGTTGTTGTTACTATTAATACTGTTGTTAAATTGGACATGATTCTTTGTTGGGGAATTAAGAATTGACTGGGGTGGTTGATTTGATAACCGCTGTTGTTGCTGATGATGGTGACGCATTTCTTCCTCCTTTGATAAGAATGTAAGCAAGACATAAGTAACAAAACAATTTTCTGAGCAAAGCATTACCTCAAATTTTACAATGAAACATACCCTTCGCTGTTTTTGAGCTTCCCTATACCGCTCCTCAGCTTGTTGCTGTTCACGTTCGCGCTCCATTTCAGCTTGTTTTCTTTTCATATCATCGAGTCGCTTTTGCCTCTCCTTCTCCTCATTACTAAGAAGGATAAAAATAAAGTTAATTTTATGACCTGTACGCAAACACAGAAGATGTACACAAGTAGCAAACTTACGGTGGGACTGATGTTCGTCCAATAATTCCATTCTGTTGGTTGTAGGGACGTGACTGAGCCACTTGTTGAATGGGTGGCTGCTGATGCTGCTGGGAATTTTGTGGAGGTGATTGCTGTGCTTGTTGTTGAGGTGGTGAATGTTGCTGTTGCTGGGGTGTTAAAGTGGGCTGAGCCAGGCGCAGGAGACCCTGGTTCCGCTCTGGACTCTCCTGTAGAAAATTAAAAATAAAATATACCAATGATCACATGAAAACATTGTCAAATTTTAAATAAAAACAATGGGACAAGAATTATTATTATAATAATGTGGAGAGGATGAAACTCATTTCGCCCTATGCAAAAATGATAAGACGTTCAAGAAACAGCAAATTTAAGCGAGTTTTGCAGTTTAAAATATGATTCTTGTATATACACTTGGTTAAAATAATAGGATGGTTAAAAAGCATGAAACGAAATTTAGATGCCTGTTTAACTTAAAAATGCAGAACACCATTGCCTTTGCTACCATCACCAAAATGTGCAAATGACAAAAAATGCAAACAAACACACACACATAACACACAATGCAGTAAACAAAACCACATGACATGAGATGGTCTCAAAGCCGTATGTCCGGCTAGTAATTCAACAAGTTTGGGAAAATATTATTTATATGCAGCAGCATGCATCACTGCTACAAAACAACAATAAAATTATGCATGACAAAGCCAAGCAAGAGATAAGACCAAAAAAAATCTGAACTGATTCTAACACAGCTGATGTTAGGAAAAAGAATGATAACAACAGAAGGTAACAAGAACACTAATTGGCACAAACATAAGGAAAATTAAACGAAGTATGTAAATCTTTCTCCATAATGATAAAGTTCCGTAAAGTTCAATTGTACTTTTTTCAATTCTGCAGAATAGATAGACTGAACTGATGATAATGACATAACAACAGTTTGAATTAATGAGGGTTGAGAAGCATAATACATGGTTATGAATGAAATTATGACCAATGAAAAATGAGGAATAAAATTTGCCAATTTCCAACCTTACATGAAACTAAGAGGATGAAATAATAAAAAAAGCGTTGAACACACAAAAGGTCAGAGGGATGATAAATTGACATCATGGAAACTGAGATGGGTCCAAATTAAGCAAAGCTCTATGATATGTTTCAAATGATTGCACCCAGTACACTCACTTTCACTTCCTCCTCAGGTAGCAGCCTAAAAAGTTCGCACAATGTTACTAGAATATAAAATGCTGAACTCAAATGGAATCTGGTTTTTCAGTCCTACATTTAAGCTCTAATTAATAAAATACATAGCAGAACCAGAGCTTTATTTCAGGGAAATGCATGTTGTTTAAACGCTTCTCTAATACTTTTGATGTGACATTTTAAATGAGTGATAAAAAGCGTAGGAAAGCTGTTTGATACGTTTGCATATTCAATTGGTTTGTATCAATCAGCATTATTCCAGGTTATAATGAATCTTGTGTGTGCCACAAAATATATCAATAATCATGGTATGTAATGCACTCTATTGCATCAAAAGTCCAACAGTAAAATTTAAGGACAAATGTTAACTGCGATAAGAGGTTACCATACACCTCACCACTCACTTGATCATCCTCCTCCTCGTCATCATGCCGAGCAGCTTCTTCAGCTCGCCTCTGGAATTCTCGCTCCATCCGCAGAGCTCGCAATTGCTCCTCTTGTTGTGGTGATCGGCTTGGCAGCGCAGAGAGCTCTGCAATCTGTTGGTCCCGCCATTGTCGTGCAGCCTCCCGTCGTCTGATTTGTTCCTATTGTGCGAGACACGTGTGCCAAACACAGAGTGATCACACACAATGTTGGTGCCAACAAACTCTAACGCAGCAGTGTGTGTCATATGCAGTGTGCTCTCTGCATGTTGCTTTCACTCCTCACCCTTTTCATAGATTTACGGAAACAAAAATTTAAGACTGCTCACAGCAAAATAACTCTCCACATTCCCCTTTCCAGTGCTTGGTGCTAGCAATTTAATCCATAAGAGGAAAATTCAATAAGGGCAAGGAGCAAAGAGCAGCTTTAAACAGGGTAACAACCGCCACCACATTCACACAACACACACATTCAAACATAAGTGTAACAGAGGGACTCAAGTAATACTTTTTTCCAACAAAATTTGTTCAAAATTAGTTATGCTCAAATAAGAATAAGTAAGAAGTTTCTCGAAGTTTAAAAATGACTTTAAAAGTATGATTCAAATGGCTTCAAATAGAAATCAAAACTACTAAGAGATTCACATGGACAAAATTGAAATTTTCATTCTCTTGTGAGATAAAGGAACTGGGAAGTGTGTGCTAAGTATCTAAGCAAGAGAAATTCAAAAGCAAATGTAGCGCTTAGTTATTATCAATTAAAATTGAAAGCTATTCATCAGCAAGAAGCAGTGAAACGCTCTAGCTCTGCCAGAAAAACAGAAACCATGTTAAACCAAGCCATTCAGTTTCCTTTCTGAAGCAAACTAGATCAGTCTACATCAATTTATGAAATGTTTCACTGTGTTTCAGCAAGAGCAAGATTATTTTGAGACTCAGAGCTAGAAACCACAACCAGATTTTAGATTCGTGAGGTATAATTGTTTACATATGTAAATCTGAAACACATTTACCCTACACCAGTTTATTAAATTTAGTACTTACCCGTTCTTTTTCTTCTCGATCCCAAGGATTAGTAGCTGTATTAAACTGAATGTGTCTTCCTGGAAGAGTACCCTGGTTGTTAGCATTGGGTTGGTAGAAATTTCCTCGAGGAGCTCCTTCAGAAGAGGCACTGTATCTAGAAATTTTTAAAAAATGATAAAATTAACATATTTATCTTTCTTGGGGCTTTAAAATTAAATTAAAATTGAATTAAAATCAAATTTTAAAATATGAAGGGGAGAGGAAGAAGTTTTACCGTGAGTCAACAGCTGGACTTGTCTTGTAGAGTGGATGAGTGGATGTTGGTGGGGGAGGTGGAGGAGGCGAATCTCTGAATCCAACTTCATCATTTGGCAATGGTGGCCTCTGAGGCATTCCTCCACCAGGCTTAGGGGCTGTAGGTGGTGGATGAACCTGAGGCCCAGCTTGAGGATAACCCTGTAACCGTTGCTGTTGTTGCGGGCTCAGTGGACTCATCATCTGCAAGTTCAAGAAAGTTAATTTTAATAAATAACCCTATCACGGATGGAGTTATATATCAGATTATTCAGAACTCTATAGTGTTATTGAGTTTACCTGTGGCCTCAGGGGCTGAACCTGTTGACCTTGTTGTTGCCTCAGCTCACGTCTCCGAACCTCTTCCTGCATTTCAGCAAGTTTGGCATTTTGAACCATGTCTCTGGATGACTGGGAACGTGCCTGCATTCCACCCATTCCAGGTATAATCTGAAACAATTTAAGATTTGAATTATTATAATGTTGTTAAAATTTGCTAGCCACAGGTCTCATGAACAAAATAAATGAAATTTACTTGAGATTGAAGATAGAGCATACCTGTGTGTGAGGTGAGTTTTGAGGCAGATACGCAGATGCTGGTCTGTCTCTATGCAATGAAGATTGTGATCCTCTCAGATTATGCATATTCTGAAGATTTTTTTGCATGTGTGGAGGACTCCTGAAAAATATAACAGGTGAAATGTTACACAAACCGATCCCAAGACTAATACACACAATGATCAGAAGGTACGATGGAAACACAAAATTTACCTGTCCTGTTGTGGCTGAGGCATACCAGATGGATGCTGGGGACTAGGCAACTTGCCTCTGGCCTGAGGTGGGTATCCATTGTGCATATCTTGATTACGGTAAATACTCAGATTTTGATAGAAGCGCTCCCCATCAGGGCCAGCAGAGTGTCCATTTGGACTATGCTGAGACTGAGGGGGCTGTTGTGGTGGCTGGAGACTGGGGTTAGACATTTGCCTGGACCCCAGCCCCATGGGTGGCAAAGTCGCTCCATTGGGTGAGCGAGGGTCAGCAAGGTTCTGGCTCGACCTTGACCTCAGCCCCTGAGGGATGCTGGTTGTGGATGAAGTTCGAGAGTATCCAGGATTAAATACTTCATGGTGTGGTGGGCGCCCTGCACCTGGCCCCATTATCGGACTGATTGGACTCATGGGCCCCATGGGACCATGACCCATGTTCACCATGCCAGGACTGTCATTGTGACCTCCAGCTGAAATTGCAGTAGACACATTAAAAAATAAATCAAGTTTGCAGAGGTGACAATCATAGAGAGACTGTCTTTCTTCATTTAAACCCAGCGTTAGATTAGTTGCTAATGAGTACTTACTGTTAAGTGAAGGTACAGATTTTGAGCTGTGAATAGGCGCATGCGGGGGGAGTATATTACGGCCACCATTTAATGTGCTTGTGTTATGGTTCTGTTCGCTAAGAACTCGAGATGGCAAGTCACGTTCACTCATACGTCTGGGCCCTGAGATGAAAAGTTAAGTTAGCATGAGATATGTGAATCAAATTGAAACCTCTAACAAGCTTCAAATTTCATCTACAGTGGACTCTTAAAGAAAGGTTACAAAATGACAAGACAGCAGAAAACCAGAAAGGAAAGCATGAAAAAAGCTACATGCAGCTGGAAATCATGCAAAATTAACTGGATGGAGGGTAAATAAAAGATAAAAAGGTAAATAAAATGAAAAGGCACACAGAAGGAACATAAAAATAAGGAAAACCCACAAATCCTACCAAAATGGAAACAAATAAACAATTAATACAATAAGAATGACAGTGGATTCAGTTGGCAGACAGTGTGTTGTAGTGCATGGTGCGCTAATAAAGTTGAACTTCACATACACTGTAAATGTGTCTGATGAAGTACTTAATTCATCATACATTGTATTGAGATTGAAATAAAACACAAAAAGCGTAGTAAATTAAAATTTATCAAGAGAAAAAATAAAATGTTTAGCAAATGCTGAAATTATGAAAATAAAATTGAAATAAAAGAGTGACCAACAATGTAGGCAAACAACAATAATAAATAGGAGCATTGCTCTGAAACCATGCCATCATTACATCTAATCACTCACAAGGGTGGTAATAACTGTTGAGATGGGTGCAATGCAGATGCCGACAAATCGTTTCATCACTATTTGCCCTGATAGGAATTAAATGGGTGTGTCCACCTATATAAAGTGGATGCATTATATGTGGCATAGACACAAATTGCCGAGCTAAACTTCTTTGAACTGGATTTTCTGTAATTTTCTTTGGCAAATCTTCTACACTTTGGCAAGTTCTTGTACGTATGTATGCATCAGGAAACTTTGGCCTCGTTTCTACTGGCTTTGTGACAGAATAACGTCGCACAGAGGGAGAGTCATTTTCAGGGAAATTAGGTTTGGTAACAGAATATCGTTGAATTGATGGTGACTTCTCTCCATCACTGTTTTCTTGAACACAAGAAAACACCACTCTCCTCTTTGGTTTCTTTTTCTGCAAAAGAGCTTCTTCACTTCTAGATCTTTCTCCTCTGGAAAATACACTGGGTTGAGTGTCTCGTGCAACAGATGACATTAGGCAGTTTTCACTAACGCTGTTCTTAATAACAGGTTCATTAGCAGTCACATCAAAGGAGAGATATGATGAATCAAGAGACACTGTTGACTTCTTTTTTGTTTTCCTCTCTGGCTTTGATTTTTCAGGCTTGGCTTTGACATCAGTTTTGTACATCCAGGAAGTCGAGACCTGTCCTGAAGTACAGTCATCATCGCCAGAGGCACTGCCCCCTTTCACCAATTTCTTCATTCGAGCCCACATGTTTGTCACTGGTTCTTCTTTTAAGTCTGACAATTCTTCCAAATCATCTTCACGATTCAATTCACTCCCTTCACTTCGTTTCGATTCAGCTTGCAATAATCTTCGAAGCTGCACCCACGGACTGTTGGAATCCTCAGAACCACTCGAGTTGTGGTCACTTGGTGATATGCACCTACTGTCCTCCCCTGCTATCTCTTCAGGGAGACGCACTTTCTCAAGGTCGAAACTCGGGTCTTTTAAGGAAACCCTATCTTCATTACAGTCAACATCAAGCACCTCAGGTGCACCTCCTGAATTTTGGTCAACACTAAACCCAACAGACTTAAGACCAACAGAATACACAACAGTGTAGTCACTGTCCTGCCGCCTCTTATCAGTTCGTGGACTGATATCAGGTTCTGACTTAGTCCTCCGGACATTGCAAGCCTCTGACTCACCCAGTTGAGAAAAATGACGAGCTAATGCTGCCACTCTGCCACACCCAAAAATAAGATCTCTGGGAGATACATCTTGTGTTAAACTTAGACTGCTATGGCAGGACGAGCTACAAGAATTTTCATCAAGCATAGCCAGATCTAAGTTAAGCATAGATGAAAAAAAGTCTTCTTTCCACCTCACTCCTGAAGAAAATGGTTTCAAAAGAGGATTTTCCCTAACTTTGTCCAAACTGCTAAAGGAAACCCTGTATTTTGATGAACGATCAACTTGAGCATCATCTAAAGTTGTTGGTATACTCTCAAGTGAACTCACTATTTCCTGCACTTCTCTTATTTTTGTATCTTTTTCTTCTTCTGTGAGTTTGCCATCCTTATTATTACAACAGGCTACTTTAGGTCCTCCTCTCTCTACGCTACACACCTCATTTTGAGGTCTTTCTAGGTCTTTAGACACAGGCTTGCGAGTTTCATTGATACGATGAGAAGAAGAGGAAAGAGAATCCCAATCAGCCTCTAATGTTGAGCAAGTAGAATTGGAGTCAGCTCCATTTTCAGATCCACAAATGTCTACATTATTTTCTCTTTTGTCAATATTGTGCACTCCATTTGTTAGATGACATTTTATTTCTTCTGGGTTCACATTCTGACTCTGTTTCTGCTCCAAACGCTCTCGATAGCGTCGAATCACTTCCGCTTTCCAATTGACTGAGTTTGGAGAAGATTTCTCAACGTTAGACGCATTACCTTTCAACAGACCCGTAGCTTCTTGCTTTGAACGCAAAGCTTCTTTCTCACACTCACAGATTTCATCTGGTGCTGGATTGTTGTAGCACTTGTTATGATTAGCAGGCACTTCAAGATATGTATGGTTTGAGGCAGTTTCAGCCTCAGGTGGAGTTACAACAAATGTTGGAGTGATGATGCCTCCGATGTTACCTGATGGTGTATGTGGGGAAAGAGTATTCTGCCAACTGTCCACATTCATACAATTGTACTGAGATGGGGTATCAAATGGAGAGAGGTACTGACGATGGTTAGGACGAAAGTTGCTACCTAAGGAGGTGGGACGGCGAGGAAGAGTTGAGGAAGCCACACCTGGAGGGGGACGGTTACTCCATTCTGGGAGGCGTTCATTGTAGCTTGGGCGTATGTTTCCCATTGAAATGCTGGTGGGTAAGCGATTACCTCCCGAACAGTTCAGAGGAGAGGAAGGCCGAGAAGATGCTGCGAGAGGGTAAGAAATGAGAATGGCCCAAACCACGATAATCATCAACAGGAAACACCTCACATTAAAATATATTTCCCTCACTCTACAATTTTAATAATATTTCTCTCCTCATTCAAAAAGGGTATCAAACAAGAGTTAAAGTGAGGTAATCTTCTGGAGAGATTATTAGAAAGACAGAAACCCCAAGCATTGTTAACTTGTTAAGCAGTGGGAAGTTAAAGGCAGACATTATTTTGTTAGTAAGAAATAATGATCAAAGTCATTGAGGGTGAGTAAAGCTTAACTTCAGCCCGCCCTTCACCTTTGAATTTAACACTAGGGCAAAAAATTATTGCAGAAGGCGGAAAAGGAGGCTTACCTCTTCCCATGACTGGAGAAGGCTGCGACAGGAGAGTAGCTAAACCGTGGTAAATAGCCCCCTGCTTGGCTACTTCAAGAGTGACTACTGGTCCAGTGCGAACTAGATACTCAGCAGCTCTGTAAATCAATATACAGCATGAGTGAAAACACTGAAAATACAAGATAAACTGCGCAGGAAAAAAAAAACATGAACACGAGAGACTTACTTTTCTTGCGTAATGCCTACTAAACTTTGACCATCTACTTTCAGAAGTTGGTCACCTGCTTGAAGTTGTCCATCAATATCAGCTGCTCCTCCCTTCACCACAGATTTGATGTAGATTCCAAGACGGTCCTGGCCAGCACCCTGAAACACAAGGAAACACAACACGTGTTAAAACAGTCTTCTTCTTCTTCTTCTTCTTCTTCTTCTTCTTCTTTTTTTTGTGGACTTATAATAGATACAAAAACAGACTTGACAACACAGGATCCAACAAGGTCTCATAGAAAGTACAAAGCAGACCACCAATTTTCCCCAAATTATTTCTCCCCCTCCCCACAAAATTGGGAAGAGTGGGATAGAGCAGGGCAGAGGCAGGCGCAAAGCGATGTAGCCGCCTTCGCGTGTCTATCGAATTCGGGAATCGACCTTAATTTTATTCATTCCAGTGTGGTGGCGAGACGGCGCGCGGGCGCTGGACAAGACCCAGCCCGGCTAGGCCAGCCCAGCCGGCCGGCCAGCCCGGAGCGCCAGTAGACCGATCCCGAGAGTCGTTCTCGTCGCTCTGTCTCTCTCGCACCCACACGCGACGCCCCATGAGCGTGAGGGAGACAGAGCGACGAAAACGACTCTCACAGTCGGTCTGCAGGACACAGGACAGGACTCCAGGCCGTGGGCGGCAATCATGGCGGGAGCAGGTCTGCAGGCTCGCTCCGAACAGTGCTACGCGTTCGTCGCCCCGTCTCCCTCACACTCACGGGGCGTCGCGTAGTGAGAGACGGAGCGACGGAGCACCGTTCGGAGTCGGACTGCTGGCAGTTGCGTGGCGGCCCCCGCCGGCCACCGCCCCACAAGGCATTTGCCTCACGGTTGAAAGTGAATGAGGGATACGCAGTAGGCACACACGCCGACTGGATGGTTTCGGACCCACGCCAACTAGTGAGAGCTCCGGCAGCCACGCCAAGGCATGACAACAGCCGTGTCCCACACTGTCTGCCACGTCCACGTCAAGCACGCATGCGACCCATTGCATAAAGCCTCTGGCCGGCAGCGCTCCCGACCGAATTTCACATTTCGCAAAGAGTAAAAGGGGGAGGGGAGAGGAGAGGGGGCAACAAAGTGTCCTCAAGCATAACACTGTCAAGGTCAAGTCAACAGCGTGCGCCTTGCTTTTTCCCGTTCCACAGCGAGCTGGCAGGGCAGTGCTGCCCGTAAACTCCGCCACGCCACAGAAGAGCTACTATGGTAAGCGCCTCGGGGGAAAGGGAAGTCCTAGAAGCGCCCGCCGCCGGGCGGGCAGGGCGACGAAGACAGCAAACTGGGTACCGAGAGTCGTTTCCGTCGGTCAGTCCCTCTCGCACTCGCGGGTCATTCCCTGCAGGTGCGGGAGAAACAGAGCGACCAAAACGACTCTCGAAATCAGTCTGCAGGGCAACAAATGGGCTGAGCCCCCCTAGGCCGTTTGCCGGCCGGTGGTGCGGCGCCAGCGGAGCCCACGAAGCGGCAGCCAATCAGAGAGCCCAGGGCCCAGTAGGGCCCAGGGCGCCTCGGGCGTACCGGACCCCGCGGAACATCCTGTACTTATCCATTTAGCGCTCCGACGCCCAGCTAGCGCTGCCAGCGTCCAGCCCTGCCCGGCCGGACCGGCACCACCGCCTTCCCTTGCGCCGATCCGCGGGGGATATCCAGCCAGGCGGACTCCGAACGCTGCTTTCGTCGCGCTTTCCCTCTCGCTCGCACCCACGGGGTGCTCCGTAGGGGCTCGAGAGAGACAGCGCGACGAAGCACTGCGGAGGCAAGCCGCAGGCTGCCGCAGGCCGGTACGCACGAGCCCAGCACGGCGCCGTCCCGTCTTGTCTCCCACGCTGCCCTGCCGGCCGGCTGCCCATGGCGATGGCTGCCATGGCGATGGGGCCATGGCGCGGCCGCCGCCCCGCCGCTTCACACGCACACGGGTCGCCTCGCCACCGCCGCGGCGCCCAGCCACGCCCGGCCCACCACGGCCACCTACCAGGGCGGCGGCGTGCCGCGAGGCCCGCGCGGCCACCCCGACGGCCGACGGCCAGTAGCAGACCGATTCCGAGAGTCGTTTTCGTCGCTGTGTCTCGCCCGCAACTACGCGAGACGCCCCACAGTGCCAAAGAGGCAGAGCGACGAAAACGACTCTCGGAATCAACCTGCAGGCATCGGGAGATCCAACAGGTCCGACAAACAAGCCAAACAGAAATCCCAAACTCCTCCGCTTTCTCCCCTCTCAAAAATTGAACACCTAAACTCGAAAATTTATTTAAGATCTGCCGTTTAAAATGATGATTCTTTGTGATTTAGGAGTCGGAGTCCCCCCTGGAAGAACACAGTGGTCGTGACTGCGCGCGCGACAGACGGACAAAACCCATGCGGCACCCCATGAGTGCCGGGCGCCGTACCCACGCAGACAATACCCACCTCCCGCTTGCATCACTCGCGCACACACGCACACCAACACAGCCACACACACAATCACGCCTAGTGCATCCATTACGCCCCCTTCCCCGCTCCAAAGTCGTAAACTGGCGAGATGTACGTGCCAGACGCCGCGGTGCAGTTCAGTGCAGTGCGAAGGATAACAACCGCGACTGCAGTTTTCCTCGGCAACAAGTCGCTGCCGCAGACTGATTCCGAGAGTCGTTTTCGTCGCTCCGTCGTCCCTCTCGCTCGCACCTGCCGGGGAGGGCCCGCGAGTGCGAGAGAGACAGAGCGACGAAAACGACTCTCGGAATGAGTCGGCTGCAGCGTGCTGCGGCGAGTCGAGCACCGCGCACAGACGCGGGCCCCGCCTCGATAGCACCTCGATATTCGTTGCGGCCTGCAGGCTGACTCCGACTCTCTCGCACTCAAGGCGCGCCCGGAGAAGGTGCGAGAGAGTCGGAGCAACGAAACGAACGAAACGCGGGGCGGAACCAGGCACGGGCAACGCACGGCACCGAGGCCGCAAAAGTAGCACCCTGACTCGCTGCAGCAACGCCCATGCCACGACCACCAAGCCGACCATCAGCTCAAGGACTATAGAAATGACCCACACAGTGGGCCAGGAGGCCGGTGGAGTCGGCCGAACTACCGGACGCGATTTGAGCTCCAGAGTCGCTAAACAGGACTCGAACCGAACGTGTGACCCCACCAATGGATTCCTCATTCAGAGAGCAATCCATTGGTGGGGTCACACGTTCGGTTCGAGTCCCATTCAGCGACTCTGGAGCTCAAAACGCATCCGGTATTTCGACCGCCTCCACCGGTCTTCTGGCGCCCTGTGCGTCTGTGCGCGGGGCGGCGCCAGCGGGGCGCCAGGACGCGCATCTCCGCCGACGGGCACCCGCCTCGCCCCGGGGCGGGCTGCGCTGCGGGCTGCGGGCTTCCGGCGGCGCACTCGCCGCCACTTCCACGTTCGCGCCGCCCTGGCCCAGGGCCCTGGCCGCCCCCGCCCCCGCGCCCCGCCGAAACACAAAGCCCGGTCCGCGGTGGCGGTCCGGCAGGGCGTGACAACGCGTTGCGAAAGCCGCCGCAGCCGCCATGCCAGCCGAGCAGGCCAAAGGCAGGCAGCGCCGTGGTCGTGCCCGCCGTCTTTATTTGTCCGGCGCCCAGTGGAATGATTCCGAGAGTCGTTTCCGTCGCTCTTGTCTCCCTCGCACCCACACGGGACGCCCCATGAGTGCGAGAGAGACACCGCAACGAGAACGACTCTCGGAATCGGTCTCCAGAGACACGGCCAACGTTTCCTCCGACCAGCGACCGGCGAAGCAGCGGGCAGAAGTCGCGGCGGCGAAGCGGCGACGCCTGTGAGTCACTCTGGAGCCCCTCCAGCTTAGTCACTCCAGGCCGCGGCCAGGCCGGCCGGCCGCCGTCACGCTCTTCCTGCCCTCCAGGCAGACCGTGACCCCGTGAGCGGCGAGCAGCGTCGGGGTGCCCTGGGGTGGCAGCCGCGCACGCCGCGCGCCGGAGGAGGCGAACAAGACCGAAACGAGCCCGGGCGGGCCCTAGGCGGGCACGTCGGCGGCGAGGGCAGAGGGCGTCCCAGGCCGACGCACTCCAGCGCCATGAAATCGCTTCATTTTCGCCCCGTTGGGCAGCCGCCCCGCCACCCGCCGAGCGCAGCTAGGGACCCTCTCTGTGAGAGATGGGTCAGGCTGGCGGCCTCCAGCCAATCACAGACCTCGGGTGTAAATGGGCCCGACGCCGACCAGATCTGCCATGTGCGAGACTAGGGGTCCCCCCAACTCAGGTATCCGCAGACGAATTGTTTATGGCCCCCAGCCGGAGTGCTAGCCTCTTGAAGGGGAGCTTCTTGCCCATTTACACCCGAGGACCTGTGACGTCAGCTCTGTCCCATCTCTCACAGAGAGGGTCCCTAAGCGCAGCCAGGCCGGCGGCCAGCGCCCCCGAGCGGCGGGACGGCGAAGCACCTGCCCCGCTGGCAGGCAGGTCTCTCTCTCGCACTCACGCGGCGCTCCGTACCGGAGCGAGAGAGGCAGACCTACGCCGCGGCCGATTCCCCACGGCAGTTACACGGCCCTCAAGGCCCTCAAGAAGGCCCCCGTGCCGGCCGGCGGCGAGGGCCTGTCTAGGCCCCGCGGCGCGCGGTGTACGGCGCTGCACCCACAGCCTCGGAATGGATTGGACTACGCAGCGGCCGCCACTGCCTTCGGCCCTTCGGGGCGGACGCCGACCGGCCGACCGCGCACCATGCGGACGCCCACGAGGACCCACACATATTTCACGTCTCGGCAGGGCAGGGCAGGGCAGGGCACGGCACGGCGGGCCGCCCGCCAGCATTCCAATAACAATAAGCCATTTACATACGACCGGCCGCGGCGGCCGCAGCCCCGGTGCCTCTGCCTCTGCCCCTGACGGGGCCCAACCCTCGCCCCGCCACTGGAAAATCGCGTCGGCCGAGACGCATGACAAAACGCGGGGGGGTTCCAATGTACCGGCCCGGCCCAGAATCTTAATACGCAACTCTTTCTCTGCATTTATCCCACAGCGGGCGAGCGAGCGCCTCGGAGCGCCCACGACGCCAACGGAAGAAAAGGCGAAAAACATAAAACACGGCAAAAACCAGCACTACACTCTCTCGCCGCGGCGGGCACTCTTCTAAACTCCATATACACAACGGG